CCTGGAGAAGAGAAGGCTGTGGGCAGAGCTGAGTGCGGCCGGTCAGGGCTTCAAGGGGGCCCAGAGGAAAGGGGGGGACAAGCTTTTTAGTAGGGCCAGCTGCAACAGGACAAGGGGGGATGGCTTTAAACTGAAGCAGGGGAGGTTTAGAGTGGATCTAATGAAGAAATTCTTTCCACTGAGGGTGGTGAAAGCCTGGGAGGGGTTGCCCAGAGAGGTGGTGGAGGCCCCATCCCTGGGAACATTCCAGACCAGGTTGGGATGGGGCTGTGAGCAACCTGATGTGGTTAGCGGTGTCCCTGCTCCTGCAGGGGGGTTGGGCTGGGTGGGCTCTGGGGGTCCCTTCCCACCCAAAACGTTCTGTGATTCTATGAAGCCATGCAGGAATTGGGCAGCAAGGCTGACCGACCACAACAGACAGTTGCAGGGAATGGGGGAGTTTGCATCCAGCATTAGCAGCTGGGCTCTGTCAGCTAAGCAAGACCAGCAGGTCCGGGAAAATCGGGCGTGCAGCAACGCTGACAGTGCTCTGCCTGGGCAACGTGCCACCAGCGGCACGGAGACAGCACGGAGCTGCCTGCCTGCGGGGGGAATACACCTCCGTGCAAACCCCCCCGACCCAGCATGGCTCCGAGTGCCGACAGCAAGTAGGAGCCCTCAAAGCAAAGACAGAGACGGAGGCCAGCAGCCCAGCCCGTACTGCCTGGCACCCACGGGGTTAGGGTCTCACCCTCGCCCCCACTGAAAGGAGGAGACCCCAGGTTTGGCAGCTTCGCCTCTGCGCCATGCCACGCGCGTGCAGAGACGTGATGGCCGGGCTGGGGAGCATGTTCCCTCCCAATGACATCAACGGTGCCAAGGCAGAGAGCTGTTAATTAACCCCGTTTATTGAAGGGCGGACACGTTCCTGCCTGGGCCCTGATTTTTCAGTCAGGCTCCAGTCCAGCAAGTGATTAATAACCCAGCATGCTGTGGGAAGAGTGCATCTATTATTCAAATTAATGAAATTATAATCAAGAGGTGACGAATTAGCAATTGCTCCTTGACTGGATATGGAAACTCATTAGCGTGCCAGGCGCTTCTGGGGTGCTCGCTGCGCTCGTAGGCTTGCAGCTGGAGAGGAGGGGGTCAGGCAGAGCAGATGGCCCCTCGGCGCAGCCGCGGGAGCACACACCCTGCCCACCCCCCAAAATAGCTGCAGCCACTGGAGAGCCCTCCGGTCCCACAAAGCTCCTCCACCTCCATCTCCTGTCCGACAGACGGACCGTTCACCCAGCATCCTGTTGCCTTCCCAAATGCCTGGTGGAAACGGGATTTCTTTCCCTCCCCCTCCCACCCCGGCCCCGATTTTTGTGTTTGGGCTGGCAGGATCATAGGGCAACATGAATGCTCGCACCGGAGTGGGGCGGAGGAAGGAAAACCCAGCGTTCTGCTGCCTGGAGCAAGGTGGCTGTGGCCGTGAGCAGGGGAAATGTGTGCACATGGGTCCAATGCTCTTTTTTGTGGAGGGTAGGGAACCTTATGCTGGAGGAGGAGCGAGCCAGAGAGGAAGGGGTGATGGCTGATGGCAAGATGCCGCCCCAAGGACGGGCTGCAACAGCCTCACAACCCTGACACTTCTGGGGTGTGGGTAAGGGACAGGTATCTGGAAGCAACAACCCGCCCTGGCGCTTTGGGGACTGGAGTAGGACTCGTGCATCGCTGGCGCAGTGGAGGCTGGGGGTCTTCCCCGACAGCCTGCGCTAGGCTGGGCTTACCCTTCCCCAGGGGGTACTCACCAATGTGCTTCCCGTACATGTGGTAGTAGAAGGAGACACAGTAATACTTGGCCGTAATGTTGTAGAGGGGGCTGATGAGCCGGGCTTTGTCTCCCGTCACCCGGGGCCGGGACGCCTCGATGAACATGTAATAACCTACGGAGCGAGAGGGAAAGGTGGGGAAAGGCAGCGCGCAATGGGTCGCCCTCCCTGCAAGCGATGGGATGACGGAGGCTGGGAGACCACTCCTCCTCTGGGAGGCTTTGCTCTTCCCATCCGCTCTGCACCCGCTGTGATCCCGGCCAGAGACGCTTGCAGGATGCCCGTGGCGCCTCCCCTGCCTCTGCAAGGATTTGGGGGGGGGCAGGAGAGGGGGGCGTCAGACCATGCACACACACATCTGCCTGGGCACAAGATGAGCCTTTCTTCTGCAGCCGGAGCAGCCCCAGCGCTGACCACGCTGCCTAAGGAGAAAACCAGAAGGAGGAGAAACCATTCCAGCCTCATTTCTCTGCCTTAAGCAGAAGCAGAGAGGAGCCGGTATATCTGGCCTAAACAATATTGTTATCTAAAGAGAACAATACCAAAGTAGTTGTTAACAACCCAGGGAGGAACAGATTAGCTATTTAATTTGTTGGCATCGTTTTCAATGCTCGATCAGGCTGCTGTGCTGAACACTAATGGGAAAAGCCATTTCCTCAGCTGGCCATTGGATGTTTCCCATTTTTTTTTCTCAGTTCAGAGATTTGTGTTTGCATGCAAATTTACTTTCCTCGTTAGAGAGAGGGGAAAGCCATATCCAGTTAAAATGGGAGCACGTACTCCATGGACGGCTAGCGTGAGCAATAGACACCACCAGTCTCCTCCAGCTAGAGGCGAAGCACTTGCTGCCAACTCGCCGGCAGCTCTCGCCTGGGCTCTCGTGCTCCAGCTTGGTGCTAAGGAGATCTGTTTGCCTCCCGGAGACCTTCTGTGAGCAAACAGCTGGCTGAAACCAGCAGGGCCGTTTCTAGGTGTTAGAGATGTTCTCCTACTTGTTTATCCTTTTTTGACTTCAAAACAAGCCTCAAATGGGACAAGGGCATTAGGCAGCAGGCAATTAGCTGGTAACAAGAACTAATGCTCGCACTACTCACTTAAACAAAGTCGTGGGCGTTTTAATTGTGTGCTTAATGCCAATCAGTAACATGCAAATTAACCGCCTGCTCCCCGCACCCTGCGCGGAGGAGAAGCATGTTGTGTGGAAAGCAGATCAGCGCTCCACCAGCTCCCCAGAGCCTTAGGACTTCCCAACAAGCCAAAAGGAACCCAGACATGTGCCTACCCTCCGGCGTACCGCTGATGTCCGTGGGGGGCCCCGTGTTGACGGTGCGCTTGGGGTTCTGGGTCAGGGCGTTCTGCCGGGTCCAGTCAAAGTTGTCCAGCTTGTCTTGCACGAAGCCGCAGATCTTCTCGTCCTCAAAGCGGCATGTGTTATCTGCAGGGAAGGGAAGGGGCTGGTCAGCCGCTGCTTTTTCAAGCCTCCTCCCCCAGCCAGGGGCTGCCTGGGCGCTTGCAGCAAGCTGCACGGCACTGCGACGCCAGCACTGCGGCTCGGCGTCAAGCGGGGGCCAGGCGGCCAGCCCCCGACCTCAGGGTGAGGCTGAAAAGGAATATCTCCGTGATTAGGATGATTATGGAAGGGTTAATCCAGGTTGATGGATGCGATGGTCTGACGAAATGGAAGAAGGCTATTAGGGCTAAAAGAGAAGGAGAGATTCTGCTGGGAGGTCTGAGGGGGCAAACGTAGAGGAGGGTAAAAGAGCATTGAAGGCAAACAGGCCACAAGGGCTTTTAAACCAGGACAACTTGATGGTAGAATAATTTCCCGAGGAGAAAGGAAAAAGCGCCAGCAGATGACCTCCCTTTGGGCTATATATTAAACTAAACTATGGCACACATGAAAAAAAATCAGCTGTGGAGAAGAGGTCAGCTCAGTGCTACAAATGTGTCATTTAGCTAGAGTGCATCCAATTTATACCAGTTAAAAGGCATATTTGGTATTGCAGCTTATGCTGGTTCCCCTAACAAAATAAGTCAGGCAGGTAAAAGATTTTTTTTTTATGTAGGATCAACCACATGTGCAATAGGGCTTGGTTTTATTACTACTGCAAGACAGTCAGGCCCTACAGCAATATTGTTAAGACAGGAGAAAAATCTTGTCCATAGACATAACCCAATATGGACTTGCAGAGACTGGAATGAATTGGACTTGACCAGGCTGAAGATTTACCACCTTTGTGGTTAAAAGGTAGTTCCCAAGCCACAAAAAGAAAGGCCAAGAACCAGCTTTGCACTGCTGACAGAGTAGGAGAGGGATGGGGGAAACAGGCAGAAGAAAAAGAAATAAGAGGTCCAAGACCTGATGTGAACATTGCTTTGTGTTCTGAAGGGTCCCTGGGCAGAAACTGGAGCTGGAGAAGGGGCTGAGAGTGGGATCTCAGACCTCACGAGTGGCGCAGATCTCTTCACCTTCTGCTGTGAAAGACGGAAGACATCCAGACATCCAGAAAGACATACAGAAAGGAAAAGAAGGCTCTTGCTAAGGGCTTGGATTGTGCCAGAAGCCTCATCCATGACCTGCTGGTACAAGACTCAACCTTTTGGGGTTTACCCCCCTCACTGTTCCCGTTATGACCAGATGAAGAGAAGCCCAAGTACCTACTTGGGCTCCCGCATTCCTGTACCTTCAGTGGTGTTTGCTCTGGTTCCTGGGCAGAAGGCTTTCTGTCCGAGCATGGGTGGCTCTGGCAGGGCATGTAGGGCTGAGGAGGACTAGCAAGCTATGTGCTGGGTGCCATGAATGGGATGGGCAAGGGAGGCTTTCTGCAATGCCAGGGCCAAAAGCTCCGGACATTTTACGTTGTGATGGAGATTTTACATTGTGTAGGAGCTTTACACACCTATCGTGCACACCAAAATCTGCCATCTTATACCAGAGAGGAGAGACTACCCATGAAATGAACAGCGTCTTGACTCTGAGATGCTGCACCTCCCAGTTCCTACCCTGCACCTATGGCCCTCCCCATACCCTCCCATTTGGAAATGAAAATGACCATCATCCAAAGGGATATCAAAAGCCTGCAGACCCCTCTGGCAGGGAAATGGGGTCGCCGTGCTGTTGTTCCCCCTTCTTGCCTGTCTCTCTCTCCAGCATCCCACCAAAGCAGTGAGAAAAGAGAGGACAGCCTCCTGCTGTGGCCCACAAAAAGGTCTTTGCCACCACAGGTCGGGCACTGTGCTGCAAGCCACGGCCTTGGTTCATGGCCCAGGGCAGCTGGGTTTTCTGTAAGCTCGGTGGGGAACGCCGCTCCTGCGAGCTGAGCACAGCCATCGGGAGCTTGGCTGGGCTGGCCACTTAACTGCTGATTAACCCTGGCTAAGTGCTTTCCGTTCAATCCGCTCATTTCTAATTAGCAACCTAATCCAAATTAGCCACTGCTCTGAAGTGCCGAGCACAGGGGGCCACATGGCAGCTGGAGCTGAAGGAGGAGGGAGGAGTGGGGAGCAGGGAGCGGACAACGGGGCAGACGCCTGTGGGGTCCAAGGCAGGGCAATTGTGTGGCCTGGGGGGGCCCTTCCATCCCCAGTGCAAGCAGATGGAAGGGAATAAGGGTGAGAAAGCAGCTTTTAAGGGTCCTTCTCCAGCCCTCATGGCTGAAAGGAGGGAGTTTGTGGCTGCACAAGACACCTACTGGTCCTCAGAGGAGGGGCTGGAGCCCACAAGCTTTATGATATTTCTGGCTTGGTCTAACACCCCAGCTTCTCTCTATTGGACCGAAGACAAACATTTGCGTGGCTCCAGCTCACAGGTTGCCAGCTGCAGTTAGAAGATGCAACTTCTCTCTTACGATGGCATTACCCTACACAGCAGGATCCACCGTGACTGTCCTTTTGCAATCAAAGGGACCGGGATGGTTTGCACCTCTGACCCTGTTGTGGCACATGAACCTTCAAAGGAGAAAGGTGACATCTTTCTCCTGCACAAAATTCCCTTAACAGGGAATATCATGTGGAAAGCAGAGCTGAACACTGTAACACAGGGGTCAGCCAGGCAACTGACTGAGAGGGAGCCAACCCACAAAGGACGAGGCACAGAAACCAAAGGCGAGGCAGATTTAAGGAGAAAGCCCAAGCTCAGCTGGAGATCAGAGTGAGCTGTGCAAGACAAGAGGACTGGGGACAGCATTCCCAGCTTGTCACCAAGGTCTGGTCATGCCAGCCAATGGATTGCTGTGCCTCATTTGTAAGAAGCCCCATGCACCCATGGGATGAGACTGCTCAGAGAAGAAGACTTGAAAGCTTGATAAGAGCTCTTCTAACGTCAAAACAGGGCCCTGGCTCCACCCTCTCCTCTCACGCAGATGCAGCTACTTCCAGAAGGCAACGCTTCTAGCAGAGAGCATAAAAGAGAGAAGGGTCCAATGCACCACAGATACCACAACATGACCAGGCTTATGTGCAACACCGTTTGCTGTGTGGGAGTTTATAACCACAGCACATTGCCTCTGCTTAGCTTGGGATCTCAAGGCACTTTGCAACAACTAATGAACATGGCTTTTTAACACCTCTATGAGGTAGCAGTGCCTCTTTCTATATATCTCCCACGTTACACGTGGGGCAACAGATGCACAAAAGTGTAGAGAGACACGTTTAAGGTCACAGCAGGCAGTGCCAAAGCTGGAAACAGAACCCAAGCGCTCTGACTCCTGGTCCTTCGGTTTAAAACAAGCCACAGGAAGGCAAAGCCCCTGGCATTTCTCCGAGCTAGAAGTGGAGGTGCCCAAAACAGCTGGGAGATGTTCGGTGTGGTTTGGGACACTGCCAGCATGTCACCTCTGGATGGTTATTAGCGAGGCTCACCAGGAGAAACCTGGCGGATCCAGCCAAAAAGAAAGCCTTTAAATGACCTCCTGGGTCTCAGAGGACACGGCGGTGATCTGACTGTTGACCTCGGTTGTGTGAAGCAAACCTTCTGGCAGACTCACACCATCTGCCAGGGATCCTGGCTCAGCACCGCGGCACAGAGGAAGCTTCCTGTTTAAAAATGAAACAACAGATTTAAATATTGAACGCAGAAGTTGTTGGCTGGATTGTGAGAGGCGCGGTGGAGGTGGCAGGGGAGCTGGTTCCTCAAAGGCTGGAGTTAGCGCTGTCTTCACCAAGCAGATTTCCTTGGCAGGCTTTGCAGTGGCAGCAGCTCAAAGTGCAGGGACGTTTGCTCCCAGTTACAGACACCTCCCTGCATTCCCAGCGGAGAGACCCTCTGCCGTGGCTATTAGCATTTCTTGTTGCTTTTGCCTTCTTGAGAAACATAATGGAGGTTTTCATTTCAAGTCCGTAGGGGGAAGCCATCCCTGGTCCTGAAATTCTGGCTGCCAGATGAATGCAGAAAATAATCATAATCCTATTCTAGCTGCAGACTACGGGTGAATAGCAGATGAAGCGCACTTGAATAAAATTGCCTTCGTCATTTAGCTGTGGTCTGATGACAGAAACTGGCTTGGAGCATAAGGGACTACGCTCTGAGCCTCAGCTCTGTTGCAGACCTGCTGCGCGACCCGCAGGCTATCACCTTCTCTCTGGAGATCAGTTTCCCCATCTAGAAGATGAAGACGATGAAAACTGTATCATGACCTCAGGGTATGTTGGGATCTAAGAAACAGCATTTAACAGCCTTTTCCATGGTTAAGTTTCTAAAGCACTGACAACCAGTAATGGTAGAAAGCTTCAGAGTACTGTAACTGGTTGGGTCATACTGGATTGACATCTGCTTTAATACCTCCATCTGCAACAAGGGGATGATATGGCCCAGACAATCCTATTTGCCACCACGATACAAGGACTTGCTGGCAGTCACCTTTTTTAACCTTTGCGTTACACACATTCCTGAGGAATGGGCACAGATTTGAGGAATCCAACGCTAAACACCCAGCTCACATCTCATTCCCACATGTTCCTACTGGGGCACCAACCTCCAGTCCCTCTGGACCAAGGCGTTATCAGAGATGGAACACACAAGCACTAGACAGTGAGCAATGAGCCAGGGTAATCTACAACCACCAGCATCTGGTACTGATCACCACCCATCGTACTTGCCCATGATCCCAAAACATTTTAGCACCACACACAACCAGACCGCAGATACATGAGAAATAGTATTGCTGCTCTGGAAGGGCAAGACACGCCAGCCAAGAGAAAAAAAACCCGGCAATCCATATGCTTCTTAGTGCCCTCATCGCCAGGCTTGCATGGCTGCATCTGCTAGAACCAGGGAATCCAAACCATCCACTGCTGATGAGTTGGAATAGCTTGTGGGGCAGCACCGCAGCATTTGGGTTAGAAAGTGAAGGCTATATCCAAATTAAATTGCAGGGGAGAGGTAAGAAGGATGGAGCAGACTCCCCAGCACTGGAATTTAGCCCTGACATTAAAATGACCAGTTATTCTAAGAGATCTCTAATTGAATACCTTAGAATTAAGACAATTCTAAGACCGTTTTTTAAAGATAAATTCTGTTTTTTAGACCCAGATTAACTGATTTTTAAGAGTCACGGTCAGTTTTACTGCTAACCTTGAAATATTTGAAATCCTCAATGCCTTTTGTTCACTTCCTCTGCTTTTACTTTGCTTTTGCATTATAACCCCCGTATCTGCCTCTGTAACCGTGCCACATGCATGCCTGCCCCAATGTCATTAACATCTTATTAGGCTGAGAGAGAAAATGCATGAAGAAATAATTGTATTAAGTGACTCTCAGAGTTTGTAAATTAATCACCATTGTGCATACCCTTGGATCAGGCTGCCAGAGGCATTAATCATCTCATTTTTGCCTTTCGCTTGAGAGCTCTCAATGTTTGCTCCCAGAATTTGGCTGAGCAACCTAGCGTGAGGATACCTTTATGCTCCTGTCCCAACCCTTTTCCCTGGGGGTGGTGGTAGCCAGGGGAAGTGGGAAAAAAAGAGGTAGTAGCAGGGATTTCCATGTTTCTGGGATGAGAGTCTGGGAACGGAGCTGTGGCCCAGAGATGGAGCTAAGAGCCTTTGGACTTATATTTGGCTGGCAGCAGGTCTGAAAGGAAGGGGCACTTCTGAAAGCAAGGGTGGTGGGTGCAACTTTAGGCAGTCAATCCCAAGGCGTGAACTCACAGGCAAGACCCAGAGGTCCCAATATCCAGCACAGCTGGGGCAACTTATATTAAGGAGAAACCCTAAGCCTTGGGTTCACTGCATGAAAATACAGGCATGGCTGAGTTATCCTCCACCAGAGGGAAATTTCACGCAGTCGTTCTGGTCTCAATCAAGCTGCCAAAGCAACCCCAGGCGAGCAGTGTGAAGGCTCGGTTTACAAAGACCCCAAGAGGCTGATTACAATTAGGACTGAAGTTGCTCTGGCTTTTACCAGTGATTTAGGCAGTGTAAAAGCCAGTGGCAAAAGGCCAGGTTTTGTCACTTCCTCCCGCGGGCTGGGACGCTTGCCTCCTCCAGCGAGTACCGAGGGACACGTTCTGGAGTGGGTCCCTGGCAATGTGCTCCGTGTTTCCCAGCAAGTTGTCTATGGAGAATGTGTAAGGAGGACCAGAAAGTGGGGAAGAAGCAAAGCAAAGGGAATCAAGAATTAGAGCCAGAAAACCCTCTGACTCTACAAGAAGCTCCCGTGCTCAGCTTTCAGGCAGAGTATGGTTCATCAAACCATCCTCAGAGAGGATGCAAGAATGAACGCCCCATGGCTGCCCTAAAGAGGTAACCCCATACTGTGGTTCCTGCCTGCTGCTGCCTAATCCTGGCTTCTCCTTCCCACTGCTCCCCTGCAGTGCAGCAGTAGCACTTGCCTATGTGTACACAGAGTCATATATAAAAAGGCTGAATGCTGACTCGGCAGCTGGATATGGGGAGAGAGAAACAGCTACATGGAACCACCTGCTCCCCATGGACCAGCAGCAAGTAGTCTGCCCATCTCTGCCCAAGAGCTTTGCCTGGGCTTATATCCAACAATCGAAGCAAAGGGACTTTGTTTCATCCCCTGAAGATCACTCCACCACTACTTACAGCACACTAGAAATCCGCTTTTGTGCTCGATGGGCACCATCGTGCTGTATATTCTGCTCTCAAAATCAATGGGAATGCTGGGTGCTCAACAGAAATGGGCCAGCATCTTGGCAGGAACGACCAGAAGGTAAATAAGCAAGTAAACAGTGATGACACCAGAGGGAAAGAAGAAAGGGACTGTGGTCAAAGAGTTTGCAGAAAGACCAAGATCTGAGCTGGAGACTGCTCCATACCAGCCTGCAGAGATGTCAAGTGGCATCTTTCCCGGTCAGAAGAGGACGGGGGATATACATTCCTTAAACACAGATATTTTGGGGAACATTTAATAACCTGCTTACTGCATGCAGGCTGCCAGTGTCGGAGGGAAGGTGGGTTCAAGATCGTAACCTACCCAGTCACAGAGACACCAGGTGTGAGTGGGAGGTCTCTGGTGTATACCTCCTGGCAATAACTCGAGGTACCACAAATTACTTACTGGAAGCATTAGTGTGCGCAATTTCATCCTCTTTTGGGAAAAACGATTTGGCAAAGCCAGCTGTGTATTCCAGCTGTTTGGCTTTCCTGATCTGCTGGAGCACCTGACTAACATGCATCACATTCAAAATATAAATACAAAGGTCTTGTTGCTTACCTGTTGGGTTGGGATAGTTGATTGCTGGAAGAGGAAACAGAAAAACAAGTCAGAACAGCGAGTACTCCCTCAAATGGCAAATCACAATTAAAGTCTGAAAATAAAACAAACACATCAAGAAAGGTCATAGATGCACAAATCTCCTAGCAGCATCCCTGTGAAACAGCACTGCTCCGTGCCTGCCTTGGTGATGGAACAAGATGCTGACTCTCTGATCCAAGCAACAGCAGACCTTAAGAAAACCCCACCTAAGGGATGATCCTGGGATTGCACAGGGGAACCCTTCTGGCAACCCAAGCAGTTTCCTTCTGGAGCAGCCATTGGGAGAGCACCTACTTAGATAGCAAAGCTTGGTGTCTAAGAGGGACATCAAAACAGTTTGAGACACTGTGGAAGTCAGGTATGCTGGGGACACCAGACATGTTGTCACTCCACAGGACAGGAGGGTTGTGTGAAATCATGCAAGCATAGGAGGAGAGGGATCTGTACTTTCTGCTGAAATACAGGGTCCAAACTCCTGAGGGCATTAAAGGAATCATAAATTTGTGAGAATGGGGAGATTTGTTAGCTGCTGGGATGCCGGGGAGAGAAGCATGGTCAATGATATCAATGGGATGATCTGGGATTCAGGGTATTGGATGGAGCTACTGTCTACGAGTAGTTACTTAGCAACTACTTAGGAAGGGAACTGTGCATTCAGCCCTGGAAAGAATTAAAGCCCCCTGAAATCCTAAATCCTCTTAGTTTTATGGGCATGTGGCTAATACGCAGTGTCCAGCATCTGTTCTCTGAAATATGGCGTTGTGCCAGATCTGCAGCATGGCCTCACCAGTCACTGGGGCTTTTGGGCTCTCCTGCCCAGAGAATGGAGAGCGCCAGTGAGAGCTCCTGGGTGAAAGATGAGTGGAGACTGGTCCTCAGAAGTGTCTATCTAGTGCTCTGCATTGATGGCAACAGGCAAAATATGGCCAAATGTGCTACCACCGTGCCATCAAAACTCCACAGAGCAGAGAGATCCACCCAAGGGTCACGGGAGACCATGTCTAGGCATATCCATGTCCCTAGGTCTGAGGCTCGAACCTGCTCTTGTAGCCAGGACCAAGGAGGAGACACCTACGTTCCATGTACTGGATGATGCGGGCAGCCATATCCCCAGCCCCAAAGCTGGTGATGGGTGTCAGGCGAACTTCATAGCTCTGAGGCACTTTCAGGTTGGGCAAGATGTGCTCCAGCAACAGGCCTTTCTCCATTTTCTGCACAGGAATGAAGGTTTGGATGGTGTTTCTCTGAGCCAGCTGCATAGAAAAAGAACCCACAGCATTATGAAGATCCTGAAACTGGAAACCTGAGGGATCCCATCCACCATCCACATCTTATTCCTCCTCTTCCTATACAGACAAGTACACCTGGTTTATCAGTGAGAATTGGCTTGAAAATTCCCAGTCCTGGTACAGAACAGCAATCAGGAGCCTGAGCTCTCTCTGAAAGAAAGCCTTCAGGTCCTCCTGACCAGGGGGACAACTTGAACAGGTCCTGGAGCATCTGTGTGTCAGAACTAACATCTCCAAGAGGGGAAGAACGAACACAATCCACCTCCATTCGTGCAATCAGCACAGCATTTTACCAAGATACCCTTCAGTTCACAACCACTGCTGCGGAATTCACTCAGTTGCTGCCTGGGTCCTGCAGCATTTCATTGGGACCTGTCTACTGCCACGCTTCCTCATCACCCTTCCATAGGATTCACCCTGGAACCCTAGCCCATGCCGCCTCCGCAGACCAGAGCAAGGAGTCCAGTTCAAATCAATGGTCTTCTGGAATCATCCATAGCCACCCTCACCCCCTCCCACCTTTCTCTGGTGCCCACCGAGGAAGGAGCTGAACCATGCTACTGAGCCATAGCAGCCTGCACATTTGCTCAGTCTGCTAAGGCAGCAGGGAAGTTTCAAGAAAACAACGGGAAATATATCGTTGTCAAAACCACCACCGCTAAAAATGATGAATTATGTGTCAGTAAACTTCCCCGCCACAGTCATGCTTGCTTGGCAGGGGAAGGACAAGAACAAGGCTTGCACTGTGAAGATGCAGTTTGCTGCCTCTTTCTGTGCAGTACCTGGATCCTTGTGACAAGATTTGGTCCTGGTGTGTTACTGGGGACACTGGTCCTGGTAAAAAGACCTTTGGCAAGGCTTTTCATGGCCCAGTGTTCACTGTCCCAGGCACTAAGCCTCCCCCTGCCTTTGATGAAACCCTCTAGGCTGACAGGTTTCATCGCAAAGGCAATTGTCCTGATAGGCAGGCTCAGCGTTCATCATTAACTCTGAAGTTACAGGATGGCTGGAACAGGGATGCGGCGAGGAAGGTTTACGGCAGATCTGTCAGTGTGGGACAAGAAGATGGAGTGAAAGCATGGCAGGAGCAAAGGCCATCAGCAAGGCAGGGCAGGGGAGCAATGCAGATGTGGTGCTTGGTAAAACAAGCACATGCAGCCCCTCCATTGACTGCCTCCAGCCCTAACCTTCAGTTCAAACACAGAAGCAAATGGCTGCCGCTGGAGAGCTTCCCATGCCAGAGTCTTGCCCATTTCCAACGTGGCAGGACCCACCTCTTCAGCTCAGACTGCTCTGCCCACAGGTCAGACGGTGCTCCCAAGCAAAGGGGCAGGGCTGGACCAGATCCTGCCATGGTACTGTGTCAGGGCAGGGACTGGCCCCTGGGAACCTGTGGCTGCATATGGTCCTCACGTTGAACAACAACTTTCTACCTGCCTTCCAGACTGCACCTAAAAGAGACCTTCGTACCAAAACAGATCAGGGTGCAAGTTGCTTAAGGAAATGCAACCCAAAACATTCTATGATTCTATGATTCTATGCTTTCTGCACCCTCCTCCTCCTCCCCCGGGCAAGATGGATTGGGAACTGCTCTGGTGCCTTTCCACAGCTTGGTGCCTTCCCATAAGGAGCAGTCCTGGCGGGCAGGACCAGGGCAGTGGCTCTGGGAACCAAGCATGAACTTGGCACCAGGAGGCTGCCAAGATCCATTCCCATCAACAACGCCTCACCTGCACGCTCGCAAGCTGGGTGCTGATCCAACCGGCGTGCCTACCGCCCAGCCCTCCCGGCTGCCAGCCCTCCCCTCCGCCAAGCCAGAGCTCCCAGCGGCAGCGATCTCACCCGGGATCATTAGTGCCAGACCCCCAATTATCTGGGAGGAGAAGAGGGGGTCACGAGCCAGAAGCGGGAGGTTGGAGCTGTACAGCTTCTGGTGTGGGGCTTTTTGGGGAGCGGAGCCTGACTGAGGGGGCTGCTCCTCCCCGCAGGCTGCCAGGAGCCAGGGTGCTGGGAAGGCAGCCAGCAAACAGGAGGAGGTCAGGAGCCATTTCCCTCGTCTAGACATAACCTTTAGAAGAGAAACAAAATGGAGAGGTGGAGAGAAGCCTGAGGGTGAGATTCAGGCAGTGCAAATTCCACCTCAGCTGGGAGTTAGGTAGAATTTGGGTAGCTAAAGCCTCTGGGAGCAATGACAAATCACTTACTCTCCCAAATCACCTAATCCAGGACAAACTGAGAAATCAGCCTCCAGTCTGGACTGCAAAGCTCTAGATCCCCCAGTTGAGTCTACCCTCAGGGGCATGTGGGTTTAACCAAATAAATACCGCCCAGGTTTGGCTGTGAAACAGAAATTAATAAAGGCACGTATGTCCCCCATGGGTCACAACTGTCCTGCTTCCCAGAGAGATGGGGATCACCAGGCAATGGGAAAGGCACAGCCGGGGCCTGGCACGTGCCTCACCTTGGAGCACAGGGGAGAAGTTTTGTGAGGGTCTTTTCCCTCCACCAAATACTTTTGACCCAACTCTTCTCTCAACCTCTGTCCTCTCTATTCAACCTGCAGCTTGGACAGACAGAGCAACAGGCTGCCAGCAAGGCTGCTCTGCACATCCTTACTACAGTCCCTACTGTCCCGGCATCCCGACAGAACTGGCCCGGGATGTCTTTGGGAAGACTGGCTCTTCTGGGTGAAAAGCAGCAGGGGCCAAACGTCTCCCCTGGGCGAGCTGCAGCCATCAGGAGAAAGGGCCAACTGTGCTGCCAGCACAGTTTAAAGGGCATGAAAGTTAGGGCAAGGGAGCAAAAGGGGACAGCTCCAGCCAGCCGCTTGCTCTGGGCACACAGAGCCGGTGCCAGCGCGTAGCCACCAGCACAGGTCCAGCAGACAGAGATGTTAAGGCCAAGGTCTGGCTCTGCCTCCCCCTCCCTAAACACCTCCCCCATTGCCAGCAGCAGGTCTGAGCAGAGCTGCATGCATCAGTCCAGCAGGAACCCATTTTTTAATCCTCCGCTTCAGTCACCCGCTGCTGCCCTCGTTCTGCTCTGTGCATGCTCCTCTCTCATGCTACCCTGGTATCTTCTTCCCTCCACCCCCTCCTCAGCCTCCTTCCGCCTTCCGATCATGCTGGCCCAGTGCTCCAGCTTAATATTGCTGCGGTGCAGTTAATAAAGCAGAGGCAGGCGCAGAGGACAGTGAAATGCTGGCCACCTTATTAGAGATGCTGAAGCCTCAGCGGAGGGTCTCACGCAACAAGCTCATTCATCACCGGGCTCGGGATGCTGCCATGGGGCCAGAACAAGAGCACAGCGCAACGCACAGCCTCATCTCTGCCTTCACCTCCTTCCATTTCCAATAATGAGAGGGAGGGGATGGGAAGGGAAAAAACCAACCCAACCCACAGTTTCTACCAGCCAGCTGTGAATATCACGCAGGCTGCAGAGGGGAGAATGTTCTTATAGAATCATAGAATGTTTTGGGTTGGAAGGGACCCCTAGAGCCCATCCGGTCCAACCCCCCTGCAGGAGCAGGGACACCGCTAACCACATCAGGTTGCTCACAGCCCCGGCCAACCTGGCCTGCAATGTTCCCAGGGATGGGGCCTCCACCACTTCTCTGGGCAACCCTTGCCAGGGTTTCACCACCCTCATTGGAAAGAATTTCTTCCTTAGATCCAGTCTAAACCTCCCCTGTTTCAGTTTAAAACCATCCCCCCTTGTCCTGTCACAGCTGAATCTTGCAGAATGGGCTCACTAAAAAACACCTTACAAAGGGCAAAATCAGCCCCCAGTGGGACATACATATTCATGTGCAGCCTGTCCCTTTCCCCTGCCACTTGCAAGCCGTATTAGCAGCCGAGGCAGAGCACGCTCACGTGCTCATAGCCACTTGGCCATCAAATCTCCGGGACCTGCAAACTAGGGCTGCCCTTTCTCATTCCTCACCATCCCATTCTGTTGGCAGGTATTGTCTGCCCAGTTCCCCGTCTTATCCTTTGAGCTGGCTCCTGATGCTTAGGGAGCGCTCGTCCCACCAAGCGCTGGGCGGTCTCACAACCAGCTGCACGTTAAGCGGCTGCGTGTTTGTTTGCGGGAGAAATTAGAACGAAACCCTGTTTCATCACCAAGCCCCAGGGAATTGTTGCAAACACCAGCGAGGAAAATGTACATCAAAATCATGCAGATTCCCCAACGAGCTGATCAGAGCGAAGGAACCGTGCTGCGGGCACCCAGCTTCCCAGCGTTGCTCTTCACTCCTGCCACCCTGCCCTCACTGGTCCCGCTTCTTCAGCACCTTCTTCGCTCGGGGCACAAGGGCTAGCGCTGCTTTCCAGCATCTCCCCTCCAGACCCTTTCCACACGCGCTCGCCGTCTCTCCCTTTTTTCTCAGCCTCATTCAAATTCCCCTGGCTGCTCCTTCCCGCAGCACAAACGCAATGGGGGTGGCTGCCCACGCTCCCACTCCATCCTCACCAGCTAACCCCAGACGCGGGCGCTGGGAAAGCTCCCGGCCCCCTGCCCCAGCCAGGCTCCATCCCTGTCTCCAAAGGGAGAGGGGACGGTGGACAAAGGCAGGCTGGTGTGGCACAGCAGCCTCGCACGCAGGCTCCCCCCCTCCGACGGGCTCTCCCTCGCCCCCCGCACAGCTCCGCAGAGGAGCACAGCAGGCAGATGCTGAGTTCCCCCCATCCCAGCCCTCATCTCTCATCGGTGAAGGTCAGGACACTCCAGAGAGCAGACGTGCACAAGGACCAGGAGCCGTGAGGAGCCTGGTGGTGCGGGAAGCACAGGTTATCTGAAATAGGTTTGAAAGACGCACGGGGCAATAATGTGGACAAAATAATCAACTGCCCAGGCAGCTGGTGAGCTGCAGTCTTCAAGCAACCAGCAAGGTGATCTTCAATGCTCAGCACCCTGGCAGCAGGAGGTGCGCGAGCATCTGTGTCTCTCATGCCCAGGAGAACTGA